GGGGGGGGGGGGGGTACAGGAGGCGGCTGACCGACCTTCTCATTTCAGATCTGCAGGACCTGCACGGGCGGGGCGGAGCGGCAGCTGCAGTGCGTCTCTCTCGACTGCCCCGTCCTGTACAAGCTGTCCAGGGTGAGCCGCCAGCTGTCCAAGGCGCCGTACCTGCGGCGGCTGCTCGACCAGTTCTGAGCCACGCCCGCGGCCCCCCCGCCCCCCGTTGGTGCTAAACCTCCTCGGTCTCCGACGCCCTCCACACGTTCTCCATGGTGCTCTGGTTTAACCCCATTGGGTTAAGTATTTTGTCGTCGCTGTGGTTATGACTAGGACTCGATCGTAATGTCTCCGCCACCTCTCGTAGGCACTAGCTTGAGGCTGGCCACTGGAAAGAAACTTCGAAGGAGCTCTGGAGGCGTAAGCTGCCCTTGTTCTGATAAACTGACCATGTAACCAGCTGCTAATTACTGTAAGTAAACGGCTAGCCTTTTCCAAGCCAATACGAAGACGCTTCATGTCGTCTTCCGAAGGCATCGTAGTCACTGTCGAAACAGAAGGGGACATGTTGGTCTTCGCCATGTTGTTTTTTATGCGCTGTAGCATTTGTAAATGCAAAACCTCTATTGAGCACCTTCTAACCCAAGGCAGACAAATTAACCACTGTTTAAAAACAATTTCTTTTTATAGAAATGCGAAACTTTTGTAAATAAGAAATCCTTTCCTTGTAAAGTGGCTGATGAATTCATGTGCACCAGACTAAAGAAAAAAAAAAAGATTTTTTTTATCTCTGTTTCCGGGTGCAATGTGTATGTGTCTTCATTCATTTTTTTCTGCCTGAAAAGGATTGTTTTATTTATGTATTTCTGCAAAAATAGTCCTCAAACTCTCTGAATCCCATGGCACGCCTATGGGATAGTGGGCAGAAGAGCAAGTGTCTAAGTTTTCAAAAGCTTCTGGGACTGTTGCAATACTGTATTTTGATAATTTATGGCAAGAGTATATATTATTTCTTTGTGCATATTTGTTTTGTACACACATTTCTAATGCTTTCTATATGCTCAACAGTAAGTGTTCCCTACCTATGTAAAGACTGATTATACAATTTGCCAAACAATTGTACACACAATGTGTATTTGTATAACTGTATAAAAAATGAAGGAACTGTGACTCAGTTTTTTTAAAAATTGATATTACTGTGGGTGGAGGTGTAAATCATCAGACAATTTAATAAAACTCAATGTATGAAATATTGTTTTCATTGATCTTTATTTTTTGTCCCTTTGGCATGCCCATAGCACTTTGCCGGGTACCTGCGTTGCTTCACTGGAGCTCCAGACGAAGACGTGATACAAGGTTTTCAATGTTCAGATGCCTCTGAAATGTGCTTCTAATCACCTGGTACGATTCAGGATGTCTGGGTTATAATAAAGCCCTGGAATGATGCAGTTTGGTGATCACGGCACTGCCCAGGACACAAGTGGAGGGATCTTGTCTTTTATACGCGATTCTTGGAGATCGAAATGCGGAGC